TCCCTTCCGCTCCTTTCTCCCGCGCGCTCGTGTCCGGAATTAAACGAGTGTTTTTATTTCGTCGCCGCGAAGGAGATTAACAACCGGAGTAAACAGTTTACCGCGGAACGGAGCGCAGGAGGTAGCACAGCACGGGAGTCATGCGGCCCACCGAAAATTCCGGCAGGCCGAGTGCGCCCATTGATTCGTCGGGCGAAAAACAGTCGCGCGTTCCGCACCGCGCAAACATCACCGCGTACTCTGCGCCAAACGATCCACCCGCCGATGTAAAAAATCGTCCATCACCGAACACGCGAGCTATCGAAAAGCTGCGCGCATTGTTTGCCCGCGATGCGTATCCAGTGAGCAGATAAAAATCATGGCCGACAATCAACCGGAAAACGATGGACGCACGGTGGAAAGTCACTCGCCGGCAAAGAGATAATCCATTCACGGTTTATCCAAGAACAGGCTTATCGGTTTTCAATTTACACGCTTGCCACGATACTTGCTCGTCCGTCGTGAGGAATATTCGATCGCCAGTCACACGCCGATGATACACCTCGATCTCTCTCGTCCCATAAACCACCCCGCGGCACTTCCCCAATTCCCAACCCCCGACACGCTTTGTTTATGCGCTTTTATCGAAGCTAGGCCGACGGTCCGTCGACTTTCACTCTCGCCGGTAAATCTCTCTCTCTCTCTCCTTCTTTCCCGCTCCCGCGATACCCGTATATCTCGTCGGAGCTTGCAAAAATATTTGCAGCGCGGAGATAACGAAGCGGTCGGCGAATCGCGCGCAACGTCCATCGCGTCGCGATTCCGCTGTATCGCGGCCGGGGGATTCGCGGAGGCCTAACACCGGGCAAATCCTCGCGATCGAGCGCGGTCCGTCGCCAATTTTCGCGTCCAACCCGACCACCGATGTTCCAGCAGCTGCCGTCGCGCTCGTCGTCGCATCGCGCGTTGGATCGCGATCCGGATGAACGGCCGAGCCTAGTGACAGCCACGTCGGTGGATCGCGAGTGAGCCGCGAGTGAGGTCGCGAGTGAAACGCGAATGCTCGCGCGAGACGCGGCGTAACGCGCGCGCGCGCGCGTGCTGGCAGTGCGGGAAGCGGACACTCGTATGTCGGTGACACACAGTGTGCGTGGATCACGTGCGCGTGTATAGCGACGAGAAGAGGCGATCGTGGTGCGAGAACGAGGAGGAGCAGCGGATACGTCGAAGCTGGGAGGAACGTTGAATGAATGTTGTTGCAAAGGGCGACTGTGATCGTGAGAGTAGAAACGGTGCACGGCGTGATCGGCCGATTTCAATTCATAAATGCGCCAGAGGAGGAGCCCACAATGGTGGCTCGGCTCCCGCAACAAGTTCTACTGCTGCTCGTACTCGGTGAGTGGAACACGCTCGCTATCTATACTCTATTATATATTTAGGCGACAACCGAGTCGGACGAACCACCCTCTTGCCTCCTTTCCTGCTCGTCCAAAATACACCTCGGACCGAAGATCGTTTCGACTCGGTCTCGAAACTGCACGCGATGGCTGTCGCGCTGCTACCTGTTACGCACCGGGATCGAGCGATGAAAAAGTAGGGATGATTCCACGTCTGTCGCGGCTGCCACATCCGACGTAGTCGCGCAGCTTCCGCCTTCGATCGAGTTTCCGCGTTAATGAACTCCCGCGAGTTACTACCGCTGTAACGCGATGTAATCCGCGTTAACCCCGCGGATCAAGAGCGGGCTTCTCCGTGTAGAGAGAAATGAAAAATTACGCGGAACGTCGAGTCGATTTACCTCTCGGCGCGACTTTTCTCCGTAGCAAAGGTAAATTAAACGTTCGCGCGGAATCGGATTTCACAGCGGGGGACTCGGAGGGATCGATCGATGGATCCCTTAGTTCGCTAAATCGCGTTAATCGTCCGTCATGTCGACCGAGCCTCCGTCAATGGAATCTCAGCCGCGTCTGATTTCTGTCAATTCGCCCCGTCTATCGATTGGCCAGCCACTGACCGCGGCAACAAAAATCTCTGCCAATCAATTTCTCTGTCAATAGGGAAGCTCGTCAAGCCGCGCACATAATCTAGACGTTTCGCGCGATCAATTACATTGTCCCGTGTCAGGAGGTTGAATTGCGCTTTCAGTCAGACTGTAACTAGAACAGTTTGCATTGTTCTTGGTGAAGCAAAGTGTAAACTGTAGCTAGCTTTCAGTGACGCGGATTCCTGTCCCCCGCTCAGACAAAGGATTCGGTCTTGTTTTTAGAGCAAACGACGTCGAATCGTTGGAAAATCTCGCTTTCGCCAATTATCGCGCAGGATGTCAACGTCGTCGGCTGGGACGTGGTTTGGGCTCGGACGCGAGATTCCGGGCTCTCGTACCCTTCTGAACAGCGCGGTTCGCGGACAGCCGTAGATTTCGGCCTTCGATCGTGCCGATCTGGCAAAGGGGCGATACGGTCGGGTGGCTAATCCGCTCGAAGGCGGGCCACTAGGACGAGAAGTGAGGTTTAATTAAGCAGGATTATTCGGATAGAAGTGAAATGAATAAAGTTTGCCCGAAGTAGATCGCGCCAAGGTACGCCGTGTAAACTCCCTTAAATATAAACACGAGATCAGAGGTTGGCCCGGGACGAGCCCGGAGATCTACGCAAAGACATTTTAACGCGCCACGGTAATTGCAAAATTATACGACGAATCGTGGAAAGCCTCTCTCGTGGAACACGCGATCGAAACTTTGGTCGTTACGTACTTCGTATTCTTCGACCGTGCCGTCGATCCTGCGGCAAGATCGCTAAGAGGATAACGCGTCCCTTGCGTCTACCGACCCTTTCCACGCCGCTTTCCACGCATCGCGGAGAAGGTACTGCGAATTTCGCCAGGAACGTGGTCTTGTTTTCCAAGAGCAGACACGGCGAACGCGAGCAACGGTCGCGGGAATATCGGTCCCATGGCAAAGAAGGCTGCACCGTTTAGATAAGTTCCGTCTAAGCTGCGTCAAAGGGACATCGATCCGTGAAACGAAACTGTTTCTATTCCACAGGGAGGCAATCGGTTCAAAGAGCGCAGCTGCATCCGCTCGACTCGATTGCCTTTTTATCACTCGAGTAACGTTATATCGGAGATCCGTTTCTTCTTTGCGCGGCATCGCGATATCGTTCGACGTCGTTTCGCGGATGGAATTCGCTTTCGTGACGCGTGTCGACGTTCGGAAGCGGATTGTCTCCCGCTCGGTCTCCTTCGAGTTTGACGGTGCTGCGGCAGCAGTTTCCGGCGAGTTTCACTCGAACGATGCTCCAACGGAGGGTGTACCGCTCGAGGGGTCGTCGAAAACAACCTTCGCGGTGACCAAACTTGTCCGGCCTCGCGACAAATCGGCTCCGCTTATTTGCATACCGTTTAATGTGCTTCCGTTTCGCGAAAAGTTCGTTCGGCCCGGACGCTGCCGTCGAGAGCCGTGGTCCACTCGCGAACAAACGGTGTAATCTTCGATCGCGTTCATTTTCCAAAGCGTAGACAATGTAGATTCGAATCGACGCGCACTGTGCGCTCCGATATCGGCTGGAACGTGCCTAATTGCATCGGTGATTCACAAAGGAACAGCAAACGCGGGCACGATCGAGCACGGTAATCGGATTTCAACCATTCGTGGATCGCGCGTTCTTCCTAGGGGGTTCCTGATCCGTGGATAGAGCAACGGAAACCGCGGGCATCCCGCTGCATTTTTCATAACGAATCGCGCGATTATGTTTGATGGGTCATCGACTGACCCGTCGATTCGTAAATTTCCACGGAAACCGTAAGTCACGGCGGACAGGTCCGGAGGAGCCAACCACAATTTCAATATCGAGACCTTCCGCTAATTCCCTGACGAATTACGCGTCATAGGAAACGAACGAACCGTCGGATTACCGGGAAAGCGAAATAAAGCTCTGGACCGATTTCGTCGACCCGTTGGATCCGCTAGTAATTACCGCTCTGCTAGACGCGCGGCGACTGTTGTCCCTTGCACCGCGGCGCGAACTTTCCACGAGCAATCGAATTACCGATGGCCCCCGTTCCTTCCAAGAACGAATCAATTTGCCCTCCGTAAATCCTCTAATAATTCAACACCGCCGCTCCGCCAGCCTTCGCTTCGATTTTCGCTGTTTGCATCCGGGATGGACTCGGGAGTTCCACGATTTCCATCTGTCATCTGTCTTCTTGCATCTCCAGCCGGCCCACCTAGCCCACCCCCTCTGTCGAGCGCTCTCCACGCAAACACCTTTAAAATCCTCTTTCCGCCGGTTCCGAGTAAGCACATTATCGGCTTGCAGCTTCGTTACGGCCCGACATTTCCATCTCCGAGACGAGCCACGTTTCTCTCTGTTTCCGTGGCCTGTAGGAAGCCAGAGAACCGTTCGATCCTGTTTGGCAACATCACCGCAGTTGTACGCGCTTTATCTCGGACCGGTTCCGTCTTCGAGAATGGACGAGAGCGGACTTTCTACCCTCGCCGCGTTTTCAACGCCCGTGGATCCTTATGGCGAGGATTTTCCAGCTATTCCCGCGCTCTCCTTTCGCCACTCGGCTATACCTTCTTCGCCCTCGTTCCCAGCGGTTCGTTATTCGCCGCTGGACAAGCTCGTAACCCCGCTACGAAATGGCCGCCGGGAGGTGAATTCCACGGAGAACGGTTGATAGATTTTCAAAAGCCCAGTACGACGACCTCTCCTCGTCCTTTGTTTCGCGTCCGAGAAACGAAATGGTAACGGGCCAGACGCTCGTTCCGGCGCAGCAGGATTAAACCGAACCGATCTTTACGAACCGGAAGCGAATATTACGCGAACGCTGGCAGGAACTAAGCGAGCGTATTTAACCAGCCCGAATCGCTAAATGGACCCGTGCTCCGCGATTCGGATTCTATGCCCCGTTCGCTCCATCGAATACGCCTCGACAGCTTGCACGCGCGATTCTCACGAATCACCGGGTCCAAAGACCCCGGCGCTGCTCATTCACCGTCGACATCCCTCGCGGCGTCGATCCGCGGCTCGCAATTATCCACTTCCTCGGGCGTCTCCGCGCGCTCGCATTTTTCCACCGTGACACCTGACGTCGACACGTCGGGCCCGACGTTGTCATCGCGCGGCTCAACGCTGCCAGCGACGTTAAGCATTTCAATAAAGGAGGAAAAGCGAATCTTGGCGCACAAAGGCGCCGTGTAACGCCAACGTATCCCCCCGTTGCGGTAATAACGCATTTATGACGGAGTTTGTTACGCGATGAAATAAAGACACGTGCTCTGGTGCGGTTCTGCCTGGGAAAAAATTGTATATAAATATCGTAGGCTATTTCGTAGGACGTGGACGTAGAATTAAGCGCTAACAGACCCGTTATGGTCTTTCGGTAGAGAAATCCTAAATGGCGAGCAATTCGGACCCTGTGTTTACTTGCTTATTGCGCTTATTACTTGCTTATTCTACTTAGACTTCTATATTGAGACGTGACATGACACGACATGAGACAGCGGACACGAGACGTCGTTCGAAAGCCTAATTTAGGCTATTAGGCTGTTGGGGTGTTCTCCCCTAAGCTTGTCGAAGTCGGTCGGTGATGATATAGCTGGAAGGGACGAAAGGAAAAGGAAGGGATGCGTCTCATCCTGGGCCTGCTAGTGGACTCTACTATTGGAAGGTCGGGAAGTTATATACTCTGCGTTGCAGGAAAGAAGTCATCTCGTTCGGTCGCGGGGCAAGAGTATTCCATTTGCACCGCCTATACTCTCGTTAGTAATACCCACTCTTCTGTGACACTCTCAAAACTACTATCTCCAAGTTCGATAACATGATACGTTCACATAGGCGCAAGATATCCGCGAAAGAAATGTTATCTCAGAGTTAACTTACAATGAATTGGAAACACTACTACGTTTTGGGATGAGTCTACGCTCTTGCATCTATTTTTTGTTCACTTTCTCTGTCACATGGTGTTCTATGACCAGGCTAATAGGAAGGGATCAGTTCTACCAATAAGGGAAGCGTTTTACCCTACTTCGGTCCTACAAATTTCTCAGATGACTTCTTTCATGCAACGCAGAGTATATAGGAAGCTGGAATCCATCTAGTGGCGAGGGTGAGAATGATGGTCGCGACAAGGCTTTTGTTCTTAGGATCTGGCTGCAGGATGAGCCGTTGCCAGATGGCTTCGCCAACCCCGACTTTAAACCGGGGGCGACGTGGCTGTGGTCACCTCTCGGGAAGGGTCCCCGTAAGGGTGATTCTTCGGAGGGCCTAACCCGGAAGGAGGAGTCTCCTTCACCCTTGATCTTGGCGTGGAAGGAGCTTCTCCTTCGGGGGAGGCGCTCGTCTCCTAGGCGGGGTTTAAAAGGGTCCGTTCTGGAAGACAGAGTCAGATGT